AACACTTTATTATTTCTTTAATACTTCGAATAATAAACACAAGGATTAATTTTATTCTCTATTATTTTTTTGGTTTGAGAAAACCCCTAGAGAATTTCCCATATATCTGTTTAAGTTGTTTTGGATGGAGCTTTTAAAAACTGACTTCTCGCAAATTCATAACCTTTTGGAGAAATACCTCCAGGCAATACAACGACCTACTGTAACTTCAGACCATCTTGGGTTACTTAGGGAATAATTATAAATTTGCTTAAGTAAAAACACAGTCCTTGGTTCTAAGTCCTTAGCATCTGACTCAATTTTCACTACACAATGTTGACCTTTACTGTAATTGTCAATTTTTTCCTGCATTTTCTCTAGTTTTTCAAGTTTATTTTCGTACAGCTTATTCAACTTTTGAAATCCTATATTTGCTCCCTGTAACTTTTTTTCTAAATTTTGAATTTTATCTAGTAAGACAAATTTTTCTTCCGAACTTATTGCATCTGGAACAGTTTTAAATTGCTTTGTTGATCAAAATCAAATCGAAATGGACTTGAAATTATATAATTTTTGTCAATTGAGTCTAGAGATTGGAGACACGATGCAGGCGTTTCTAACGCTTACATTCTGAATTAATTAAAGTCTTAGAGATTATCTGAAAACGAGTAATTCTTTTATAATTCAACAGCAAGAATAGAACTGTATTTGGTAGCAATTTTTTGTTTTTGTAATGTCTGAAACAATGATACTATTGATATTGCGCTTCTTACGCTGAAAAAATAGACTGGTTGTGTGACAGATCAATATTTGATTAAATATGTCAACAATTGTCACATTTAATTTCGTACAAATTTTCAAATTTAACTAATTAGTTTTTTTCCATCTACCGGAATTTACCATTTTGACAAGTCGACTTTATATTACTGTCAATCAACACAGATGACACTTTTACTGCAAAAGTGCTTCAAAGTTTCAAAAGTTATCTTTAAACTTAATTGTTTCCAAGTTTTCTTATATTCACAGGCGCAAAAATATGCAAGTTTCCAGAAAGTATGACATTATTGTGATTGGTGGCGGCATTATTGGTACAGCTATCGGAAAAATTCTGAAGGAAAATCTGAAACTCGCAAAAATAGCACTGTTAGAAAAAGAAGAAGCTCTCGGTCGGCATCAGAGCAGCCACAACAGTCAAGTGCTCCATGCTGGGATCTACTACAAATCTGATTCTTTAAAAGCCAAACTGTGTGTAGAAGGCGCAAAATTGATTTACGATTATTGTAATATAAAAAACATCCCAGTCAAGAAATATGGTAAATTAATTATCGCTCGAGACGTATTGGATAAATATCGTCTAAAAGAATTGTACAAACAAGGCTTGAGAAATAACGTGTCTGGTATAGAACTCCTTGAGTGGAAAAGTGTTAAAAACATTCAACCCCATTGCCAGGGTTTGCAAGCACTATGGTCCCCAAACAGTGGCAATATTAATTGGGAAGTGGTGACTAAAAGTTTCGCAGAAGACTTTAAAAATGCAGCTGGGGATATATTTCTCGATTTTGGGGTAAAATGTATTAAAGAGTCGAACGAAGCTTCACACCCTTTGATAATCATGGGGGAAAAAGGAAATTTCTTGGCGAAATACGTCGTTACTTGTCTTGGTTTGTACTCGGGTTCGCTTACTGGACCACAGAATGGTTTCGAAAACGTTTCCTTGCAAGTCAATTATTATACATTAAATCCACGGCTTAATCGTTTTGTCAAAACCAATATTTATGCAATCCCCCATATCGACATGCCCTTCATAGGCGTCCATTTCAGTCCCACTGTCGAGGGCGAAGTCCTACTAGGACCAAGTGCCATTCCTGCCCTGAAACTGGACAGTTATGAGTACATTACCCAAATAAGTTTCACACAATTCTCACTGCATTTTTTAGTAAGTCTGCAATTGACATCACGTATATTCGAAACAAGGTTTTTTCCAAAAATGTTGGATTTTTGTTTTTGAAAAATTTCCAGACTTGTTTGCACCAAGTGACTGAAGCAGTTTCCGGGGATTTTCGAACCGCCGTTTTGAATAAATACTTACCAATGATTTCAAAAAATGACATTCTTCCGGGTCCCACAGCTGTGCAAGGCCAGATTGTGACGAAAGATGGGGAATTTGTTGATGATTTTTTATTCGAGATATTCGAAGGCGAGGGAGTGCAAAAACGGATTATTAACTGTAGATTTGTTCCAAGTCCTGGCGCAACCAGTTCTTTGGCCATTGCCAACATGGTATATGACAAAATACGAAAAGTTGACAATTTTGGAAATTAGGGAGCAAAAACTCGAATTATTATCGTTTAGATTTGTTTGTCTAAAAATCAATAAAACATGTTTAACAATAATAAAATACAAATTTGAAGATTAACTTTTTTAATAAAACGTAGCTAGGTACAAGAATATTACAATTAGAAAGAGTTGAGTATAACAACGTATTAACAGTAACACATCTCCCAAATTTAGAAACAATAAACACTACAAAATTCGAAATACACCTCGTGGAGTTTTTAAAATACAAAATACTGATGCTCAATAAAGAATACATTAAATTAAATTAATTTGTAAAATATAGATTGCTTTTTATTTACACTCGTGAAATAACTAAAATATTTTTTATCACAATTATTTATATACTGGTATAAACACGTATGTAACGACATTCTAAAACAAAAAAATTGCTTCGGAAGCACAAAATCATCACATTAAAAATTTAAAAGAACCAGTTTTCTCAGTTGGTCAATATTTTCTCATTTCAAAATTTGATATGGAACTGGTTCTACTATACAGGTGTTTCATAACTCGCGCCAATATAAAAAAATGCCAAGTAAGTTAAGATACCGGGGACATGAAAAAATGTTAAAAAAAATCGACATTGATTGTTTTTTTGTTCATAATTATTTAGTAAAGGTACAAAATTTTTAGCAAAAAAAACGTAAAATTATTTTTCCAACAGAAATAAATGGGACCAAAGTGAAAAATTTAAATCCCCATAATTGCGAAATTCTTAGAGACAGAATTTTTAATATTATTTTTTGCATGTTCCAGGAATCTTATCTTACTTGACATTTTTCCCTGGGGTGTGAGTTCTGAAACACCCTGTATAATTCTTTATCTCTTTTTTCATAATAAAATCTCCAATGGTTAAAAATGAAAGAATCAAATTAGCATACAAACAGAATATTTTGTTAAGATATGATTTTAATACCGAAACCATATTTCAACTGATTTATTTAAAATAAATTTCTCTTTTTCAACAATCTTCTTTTATAAAAGTATACATTCATGCAAATAAGTACTTTCACACAATGTGCTTAAAACTTGAAAATCACGCATATTTCTGAGGGTAATTTATAAGTTTGTATTAAAAAAAAATAAAACCCTAACTGAAACGGTCCACAAAATTAAAAAAATTGGTCGTTTCTCGTTGACATCAAACTACGACTTTTAAAACCGCTCTTGTATTTTAAGTAGATTCAGTAAAACTCTACTGTGCCCGAAATTTAAAAATGTGCTCTTCATTTTTAACATCAAAATGTAGGTAAGAGTAACATTTAAATCACATTCATTACTTGAAATGCAGGAATAACTACATTACTGGAACATTTCGAATATATTATGACCTTACATTTGGTCAAAAATATCTTCCGAGCTTGTATTCAAATCAAGTGCACAGTTAATTATTATTTGTTTGGAATAAAATTCGAGCACTTGATTTTTAGGCAGTGTACATGCAGAAAATTCTATATTATGAGTTAAAATTGTGTTGAAAACAACCATAGAAGACATTTCACCTAATCAAGTCAAAGTTGCAATAAAAATTATGTACACAGTGTCCCAGCGAGTTGAAAAAGTCCATTAGTGACCCTAAATGGTACAATTAAAAAAAATGTATAGAGATTGTAAAAGTCGTTGTAAATCCTGAAATTCGAATTATTTTATTGTAAAAATAAAGAATAATGGATTCATTTTAACACAAATGTGATTATTAAGTGATATTTCTTCCATCTCTTGTGCAACTGTGAACTTTTTGGCTACTAAAACAATAGTAATTTTTTTTTATGTTTAACGTT